AAGCATGTCCAGAAAGCAGTTTCAGTGTATGTGCCCTTCAATGTTTCCATTTACCAAAAGAAACAAGGGCCTATTTTAATTAAACAGGATTCTACTTGGCATTATCAAATACATAGCTCCTCTAAATTACATCCAACAAAGTGCAAAGGAATTATATACAGCTTATTACAGTAGCATCTTGCATTCAAAGTAGGTTTCTTTATATACTTTTCTTAATCAAACTGTACTGCTGGTCATTGTCTGTTGTAATAAAGTGAGTGAGTGCCTTATAAATGCAGTCCTGCACCTAATCATGAATTGCTAGTCCCACTGATATTAATGGTCTTAACCACATATGAGTTAATTAACTGTGTCTTTCTTAAGGCAATTAAATTAATCCTCCAGTCAATTGCTGATGAAACGGTTGTACAGCAACCCGAGCAGCCCCAAATTTACCAGTAATAATTTCTACTGCACTTTCAATATGCAGCAGTTTCTAAAATTCATCACATTCATCATTCCCTTTCCATACCTCACAAGGTTTTAGTTATTTCCAATTTATTCATGGGTGAGGAAATGCAGCTGAAAGATAGCAATTTGCCTGGGACCGAGTGGTACTGAATAACACTTCGCCCAATCAGTGCCCACTCAAGGGCTTTCAGCACCCTTGGCCAGCTGCTAACCTGGGCAACATTCTGGGTGGGGCTCAGCAGCTCCAAGTCTGGGAGGCTCCCAACCCTGCCAGGGTAGTGTGGGCGAGACTGCGGAGCAGTAGTAGCTGGCATTGGAGGGCTATCCTACAAAAGGTCCAGCTTGGCTTCAGCCAAGAGCAGGAGCGGCTGTGGCAGGAAGCTGTCGGGGTCCCTGAGGCGGTGCAGGGCAGACTCTGCAGCTGAATAGGGCACCTGGTTGTATCTTCATCGGATCAAGTGGCTTGGGCGAGCATGGGCCCCACCTCTCCAGAGAAATGGAAAGTGAGCGAACTGGCCTGCCCATCAAGCCAGGCTGCCACAGGCCCTGCCTCCCCCAAAGGACGAAGGGAGAACAAGCAAGCAAGTCAGCCTATCGAGCCAGCCCTGCATACCCCAGAGGATGGAGGGACAGGAGGAAGAGCCAGCCGGCCAATTCAGCCTGCCATGTACTCCTAGACTGGCTGCCTCAAGAAGATGCAGTGGTGGCACCATGATGGCAGCAGCACTCACCAGGCACCCTCCTTACTCTGCTGGGCAGTAGGTCAGCCCCCAGCCATGATGAGCCACATTTGAGTTTGCAGTGTGGAGGGCTGGGTTGGTACCTCCATAGCTGCAGTGGAAGCTGGTGCTCCAGATGACTGGATGGCTAGGTCCGCTAGGCTCCCAATCCAGACAAGGTAACCAGAAGGCATTTTCCGTCTATGTATCTGTTTTGTTGGATTAGAACTTCCCATGTAAACAGGTGCTGCATGCATGATTACGAGGGCAGGGAAATGCCAATCAGATTCAGGGCTGTGCTCGTACACTCCAGCCAGGAAGTCAACCAGAGTACCCATTCACCTTTTGAGAAAGAATGAGGAGTTGTCCTTCTTTGTGTCACAGACAGACACTATCACTATCCACCTGTGACAGATCTGGTAGACAAGTAGCTTATCCGATCACCTGCACAAAGCAGCCCATGGATACAGACCCCTGAATTGCTGGACAGGAGCGACTGGCGGCTCTTTTAGAGGCTGAATACACTGTTTGGTGGACCGTCGCCAGCACATGGAATTTAGAGAAGAACAGACCCATTTACTTCACTATAGTAATAAGTAGGACTCATTTTGAATAAACATGCAAGGATCAGGCTACAGTCCTAGGCACACTTATTAGGTAAAGTGGAGTTTGAATCAACACAATCAGATTGTATGTAAGCCAGGGCAACAAGAAAAACACACAGGGGTCATCTCGTAGAAAAAGAGGTGCAGGAGCACATTAGCATAACTCATTAGCTTAACTTATTTGCATGTGCCACACCCCCTGACATCACTGGAAGTGTGTCAGAAGGCAGCACCCACCGCTCAGGCTCCACTGGACTTGGATTGCTAGCTACTGGGGGGGAGGATGTGCAGATCTGTCCTCGCAGAGGAGGGAGAGCTTGTACCTGAATAAAACTTGGTCTTAAAGGTGCCACGGGACTATTTTGGACCGGGGGGGCTGGTGGGGGGCCCTCTGCAGCTTACCTGGCTGCTTCTTGCTCTGACTGAGGGCTGCTGGGAGCAGGGGGTGGGGCTTGTTGCATATGCCCACCCCCTGGGCTCTTTACTGCCGGAGCTCCGCTCCTGTGCGCTCCTGCAGGAAATGACCCCTGAAAATACACCTTCTTGGTCTTCAACACATCCATGGATACTTACCTTTGATGTATAAAATGGCCACACACACTCTCAGAGGGGATATTTGCTTGGCTTGAAGCATCTGAAAACCGATAGAGGCTGCAGCTACTATCTTCAAACACAGACTGTTTATCTTTCCCAAAAACTCTGGTAGAAACTGCTTCAAAAACCTTGTAGTCCATCAATGCCTGGCAGAGCCTCACAACTTTAGTCCGGGAAATATCCACCACACCAAAGTATTTCTTCTGGAGAAGGTGGGCATAAACAACATCCACAGCATTGGAGCCAATGAAGCAGTCATCATAACATTTCAGGTTTTGACGCCGCTTTTTCACTTCAACTTGGGTATGAAGTGCATTGATAATGCTGCTCCAGACATACGTGGCGCCAAATGGCCTTTGTGCCAAACTGAAACCTAACAAGCAATGCAGAAGAATTACTAGATGCATCTTGATGACAGTTCTAAAAAAGTTCTAGAGGACTTTCCTTTAAAAAAAAAAACAACAACCCTAAAACCTAAGCTTTGATAATCTTTCTAGAGTGCATAGTTTACCAAGGAGGTAGAAGCTTTTCTGTAACAACATACTACCTCATCGTTAAAACCTCTCCCTCTACCAGCTGTTGCAGGGGATTACAATAGTTATGAACGTTATTTATCGTCCACCCTTCTCACCCGGACTCAAGGTGGATTACATAGAATGTGTCAATACAATCAAGAGGATGTGATATTCAATGAGCAATGCAATGGGATTAGGGTTGTAGAACCAACCAGAAATCTAAAAAAACAAACTGAAGCAAAGCGTAAGTATTTACATGACATATGAAATGATGCAAAATTACATAGCAGGATCCTAGTTTCAGCAAGCTGTATACAGTATAGACCACAGTTCCTAATACTTTATCCAGGTAAGTTTGTGTATGTCCATCAACCCCAAAGAAAGAAAAGCCCTTTGATGTTACCCCAGATAGTTAAAAGCTGTTCTGCTGTTCAGTATTTTCAAATCAAACAGCTAACCTTCGCCCATAAATATTCCATATCACTAGCCATTTTTATTACATACATGTATATTACCATAAATTAAGGCTAAGCCATTAACAAACTGTATAAACTTGGGGGATCAATAAAATACCCTGTGAAATAGATTAAAATGCCTTATTTCATTTAGCTTTTTCATATCCATCTTTCATCCTATGTACAGCAAGAAGTCCATTTAGGCGGTTTTTTGGGGGGGGGGGAACAACCACCTGTTATAAGGAGGTAGCCAGGGCTTTTTTTGTAGAAAAAGCCCAGCAAGAACTCATTAGCATAATAGGCCACACCCAACAGCAGAAACCATTAGCATATTAGGCCACACCCCTGACAGCACAACTCATTGGCATATTAGGACACACACCCATGTTACCAGAAGTGTGCTCATCCAGCCACACCCACCTTTTGCTTCTTATTCTGTTTACCTTGTTTGTTTGTCCAAACCCAGGGCTTTTTTGTAGCAGGAACTCCTTTGCATGTTAGGCCACACACCCCTAATGTAGCCAATCTTAATGAGTTTCTGCTGTTGGGTGTGGCCTATTATGGTAATGAGTTCCTGCTGGGTGTGGCCAACTTGGAAGCCAGCCGGAACTCCGTTCCTGTGCGTTCCTGCCCAAAAATAGCCCTGGAGGTAGCACATTAATTGCATGCAGATGTACCAAGTTCAATCTCCAAGCTCTCCAGGTTTAAAAGGAGGTCAGGTGAGATCTGCTGTAAGAGAGCAGGGGAAAACACTGAGAAATATTACACAGGGTTGTATAGATGCTTCTGAAATGATGTCTCTGCTTAGTATTTTATTTATTTATTTATCTGGACTTTTATCTCACCCTCCCCTGCACTCAGGACGGTTTACAATCATTAAAACACAGATAAATTCAAAATACAAGATGGCACATAGACATAAGTGCTTTAGGGCTTATATGGGGTCTGTACAGATGTGCCCAAGGTCAACAAGCTGGGCAGTGGGCAAACAACGCTGACAGTATCTGATCGTACTAGGTTGGGTGGGGTGAAGCAAGGGAGGTCAGCAGAACGGGACACCCATGGCCTTAACCAAAAGTCCAGTGGAACATCTCCGTTTTACAGGCCCTGTGGAACTGAAACAGATCCCGCAGGGCCCTGATCTCACTCAGGAGAATGTTCCCCAGGCTGAAGCCACAGTCAAAAAGGCTCAGGCTGAGGTTAAACAGATGTCCTTTGGACTGGGGACCACCAGCAGCTGTTGATCTGATGAGTGTAAAGCTCTTCAGGGGACATAGCGGGAGAGGTGGTCCTGCAGATATGTAGGTCCAGACCGCACAGGGCTTTAAAGGTTAACATCATAATTTGTACTGGATTCGGTACTCCACTGGAAGCCAGTGTAGCTGGCGAAGGACTGATTGTATGTGAGCTCTAAGAGGTGCCCTGGTAAAGACAGACACCGCTACATTTTGAACCTATTGGAGCTTCTGAATCAACCACAAGGGCAGCCCAGCAAATTAATTGGGAGGACGCAAGGAAAGGATGAGAGAACAAATGTGGTGGTCAGAACTTTTGGCTAGTACTGAGGAGACCCAGGTTCTTATTCCTATTCAGCCACAAAACTGACTGGGTAACTTTTGGCCAGCCATACTCTCAAAGCCCTGTCTACCTTGCAGGGTTGTTGTGAAGATAAAATGAAGAAGTTGGGAGTAATGCACACTGCCCTGAGCTCCTTGATAGAGCTATGAAACTGATAGAGGTATGAGATTTGTGACATCTTTTCTCAGACATATTCCAAAAGTAGAAAAAGCAACATATTCCAAAATCATTTGTTGTGGCTACTATTTGTACCTTATAATATCTATAGCAAAACCATCCACACATTATGGCTATTTTTACTATTATTTGTTTCTTTGATTTATATTTTTTTAGTCAATGGGTTCATGCTTCTGGAATGCCTACCTAGCACATAAACCCACTGAACTGCTTATAATAAGGGTGGGGGGTACAGAACTGACCAGAAATAAGACTGCTCCCAAGGAATAATCATAAACAGTTAAAAACACAGGTTGTAGCTCCGTGGGTTTGGAGGCTCTCTTTTACCAGTGACAGCATTCCACCTTGCCATCTGATTCAAAAGCACACAGACATTCTGTAGTGAAGCTGTTCTGTTATTCCCATATGCATGCATTACAGAAGAGTAACCAGCAGTAATACAGCTGTTCTTACTGTCAATGCCAATAAGCGCCAAGGACAGATATGTTTATAAGCAGCCTCCCCATTCAGGCAGACTCCCAATAGGTAACCCAAACTGGGAAGACAGTATATCACCCTCAGGAAAAAGGGTTCACAAGAGACCCATTCCTGCACATTTATACATATTGACTTCCCAAAGGGATCGTGTAGAAGAGAAGCGTCATAATTTCACATAAACAGCAATGGATTAATTGTTTTACCTTACATCTAATAAAGCAAGGTAATAAAACCTCCGCTCACAGGGAAATTGTGGTGACCTGTGTAAGTTCAATGGAGAACAGCCAAAAAGAAATGAAGGCTTCTCAGAGAACAAGTGCCAGAATGCCATAAAGAGGTAGGGCATCCAGCAGGGGAAAGTGAAAGGGGCTGGTTTCCTGGAATAACAATACCAAAAAGGAGCTTCCAGCCAAACTTTGAAAGAAAGTCAATACGAGATGCAGCCAACTGGCGCTATAAGTTAAGTCAGAGGTTAACGTGCCCAGTGTCAGGAAACATCAAACATACCAGAACTCAGAGGAGGGGGGCATACTAAGAGAGGGCACAGCACCTTGGCTAGAGTAGACTCAGAAGCAAACAGTACCCTTGCCTGAACACTTACACAACTAGTACCAAGTTAAGGGAGGCAGAAAAGCTACTCCTAGCCATACCCGATCAAAGCCAGTTCTCTTAACATAGCACATGCCTGACCTTCCAAAAGGACTACAGCTAACTCATCATCCAGAAACAGGATAGGAGAGATATGGGGAAGTCCTGCAGGATCAGACCAAAGGCCCCTCCCGCTCAGCACTCTGCTTCCAGCCACGGCCAGCCAAATTCTTTTTCGAGTGCAGAGGCAGCATCGTGCAGCAGTTACAAGACAGCAGAAACTTGGGGTTCAAAACCTCCCTACCTGTACCCAAGCTCTCTGGGTAACCTTGGGCCGGTAGGTTAGAGGCTCCATATAGTTATGGCGGACTAAAGAAAAACTCGAGCACAAAATCTGCATAATACCCTTTTATTAAGACCAAACTAAAATGACACAAAACACCAGGCAAGCCAACTGCAATCTCTCAGCGACGACTACCTCATAGCTAGGGAAGGTGGCCGGGAAGGGCCATCTATGCTACCTTGAGTAAAATAAACTTGTAAGAGAGAAAGACTAACTAGGGAAAAAAGTCCCATCCACAAATTGGAGAACAGACGATCACACAGCGCGCCTTAACAATGACCTTGTGGAAAACAAGAGGGATGTAATTTCTTTTGTCTGTGGACTGAGAAATAGGCAGGTGAATAAAGGGGTAAAAGTGTCTCCCGCCGCCTCCATACCCCCTTTCTCCTCCACAAGCCAGGACAGGTTCTTCTCACCCTTATAAAAAGCAACACCTAACCTTCTTCCCCCGACCGAAAACGTTACCTGGAGGCTTGTTGGCTGGACTATAGATAGGGCAGAGATTCAAAGCTGCCGCTCTCTCCTTCACAGTGGCCATAGCAACCAGCTGCTCTCCGCGAACAGGTCCGGGGAAACTACTAAAGCGCCGCTGCCGCCTAGCAGCTCTCTTGCAAGAGAAAAGGGCGGTGCCGACCAAATACGCTACCTTTATTGGCCGACTCTCTCTCTCTCTCTGGAGGCCGCATCTATAGACCACTTAACGTTCCCGATAGGAATGTTAGGGGCGGTGGCTTGTGATTCCTGCTTTGCAGCTAGCGCCGGTGAGCGTGCAAAACCCCTTTTCGCTGCCAATGAAATAAAATTGCACGCATTCCTTTCGAGCTCATCCAAGAACGAGGACGGACGAGAGAGTCTCGTGAGACCGTAAAGACTGCAAACAGACGATCTCTGCATACAGGGGGGAGAAAGAACCTTCAGAGATACAGCTTATTCTCAGCCGTAATGCTTCAGTGATATATTAAGCGGCTCCTAGTGAAATTTCTCTCCAGCATGCTTGTCAAAGAAGAAGAAGAAGAGATTGGCTTTATACCCCGCCCTTCACTACCCGAAGGTGTCTCAGAGCGGTTTACAAATTCCTTCCCCTTCCCATCCCCACAACAGGCACCCTCTGAGGTAGGTGGGGCTGAGAGAGCTCTTGACAGAAGCTGCTCTTTTTCAAGAACAGCTCTTATCAGGTACAGGAATCTTGTCCTGTGTATCCCAGAGCTGGCAGAGCGTCGGTAGGTGGCCGAGAAGAGTCATTAATCTGAAAAGGGAACGGCAGAGCCCAAAGCTACCTGAGGCTGTGTCGGGAAAGCGCCTTCAGCCGGAAAGCTCACATAAAATGTTTAAAAATATCACCTGGACCCAGAATATTCTTGAACTCAAGAACACACATCCACTCAGTATGATTTGTATAATGTCATCTGTGTTAAGCGGTGTCAATTCGCCTCCTATCATTAACTCGGTCAATCCATCTCATGTTGGGTTTTTTCCTATTTTTCTAGCATTATTTTCTCTTCCAGTGACTCTTGGCTTCTCATAATTTGACCAAAGTAGGATACTTCCAATTTACTTTTCAAATGAATCAACTTTCTTCCTGTTAGCTTTCTTCATAGTCCAACTTTCAGATCCATACACAGTCATCATGGGGAATATTATAGTACAACTGAGAAGGCATCTCATTTCCCCCTCCCCACTATTTCTTCTTTCTCTTTACTGAAAACCCCCTAACCTCTCCCCTTTCCCCCCCTGCATATACTCTCATTCTAGGGTTGCCAACCTCCAGGCACAGCCTGGAATTCTCCTGGAATCTCTACTTCCATATCTCCAGCAATTTCCCAACCAGGAGCTGGCAACCCTAGTGGGGGAACTGATTGCTGGACATATGGGGGTGGAGTTGTAGGAAGGTGAGGTTTGGGGAGGGAAGCAACTTCATCAAGGTACAGTGCCATAGAGTCTATCCTATAAAGCAGCTGTTTTCCCTAGGGGAACTGATCTATGTCTTCTGGAAAGCAGCTGTAATTCTGAGTGATTTCCAGCCTCCATCTGGAAGTTGGCCACCCTAGTTTCTGTGGAGGAAATGGCTGCTTTGGAGGGTGGAATACGGTATTATATCCCTCTGAGGTCCCTCTCCTCCACAAACCCCACCCTCCTCAGGCTCCACTTCCTAAATCTCCAGGACTTTCCTAACCTGGAGTTGGCAATGTTATCTCCTTCCCACCCAACCTACCTTTATCTGTCCATCTGTCTTAAGTTTCCCCACAACAGCCTCTGCCTAGGAAAACTGGCCCAGTTGTGTTGTGCTGGCTGCTGGGCCAGGCCTACTTACATGGTAGGGAACCCTCAAGAACTTGTGGGGTGGCACCTCATTTTCCCTTCTATTCCCCTCCCCACACTATTCCCTCTTTTCCTCCTCCTGGCAACTCACATATCTTCTCCCTTTTCCCTGCCTCATTCTCAGGGCCAGCCCGAGGATTTTTTGTGCCTTAGGCTGGGCTACCTTCTGGCGCCCCCCTGTGCTGGGCTACCTTCTGGCGCCCCCCCTGTGCGTGCCCACAAATTATGGGGTTGCCAACCTCCAGGCAGGGCCTGGAGAGAAGGAAGTCCAGCCGCTGAGCGCACGCCACACACACACAGAGTTTGTTTCAGAGTCAGCCATCCTGTGCCTCCCCCTCCGCATTGCCCCAGGCCGGTGCGGGGCCGGGCGCTTCAGTGGTGGTGGGGGCATTGTGGGCAGATGGCGTGGCGGCGGCGGCGGGGAGACACCGAGGTGAGCCAGGAAAGTGGAGTGGCAAACTTTGTTGGCCCTCGATGGGCTGTCAGTTTAGCCACCCTCCCATGGCTGCCTCAGGCTGCTTGCGCAGTTGGACTGGAGGGGGGAAGGCTGCGGGGCAGTCCCAGGAAGCGCCGGCCAGACGTGCAGGCTTTGGGGAGGGTTGGCGGTGGGCCCGGCTGCGCGGCGGATGCAGGACTCTGGGGTGGGGGTCCGGCCAGAAGACATCGTCGCCACCACCTTCTGGGGCAGAAGGACTGGAAACTGACCCCCCAGCCTCCTCTGCCTCCCCCGCACCCCTGACTGCTTGAGGGACTGGACCAGCTGCCACCCTCCCAGGGGGATGCGCTGGAAGGGCAGGCATTCCGCTCCACTTGGTGGTGGGACTTGCCTCCTAGCAGGGAAAGACCAGCCCAGAGCGGCGACCTTATGGCTGGTCGGCTCCCCATGGCCACCCTGGGCTCCTATTTCCCGGCAGAAAGAACAGCGAAGGGGTGCGCTGAAGCAGCATGCGCCCAGAAAGTCATGCAGGGGAGGGGGAGAGGCGGCGGTGGCCAGGGCGCATGGCGCTTTTGGCGGGAGGCTTTTGGTGCCCCCATGATGGCCCCACGCTCTAGGCGAGAGTCTAGCTTGCCTAGTGTGCGGGCCGGCCCTGCTCATCCTCTCCTTCTCAGCCACTCAGCAATGTGCCTTTTAAACACCTTCCATTTTCAGCTATATTTATTATTTACTTCATTTATACCCCACCTTTCTCCACAGTGGGGACGAAAGCAGCTTATATTATTCTCCACTCCTCCTTTTTATCTGCACAATGCAGTGGGGTAGGTGAGTCAAGAAGTGTGTGACTGGTCCAAAATCACTCGCTGAGCTTCCGTAGAAAGATGGGGATTCAAACATGGGTCTCCCACAAGTACAGGTGAACTCCAGATGACAGAGATCTGTCCCCCTGAAGAAAATGACTGCTTTGGAGGGTGGGCTCTATGGCATTATATTCAGCTGAGATCTCTCCCCTTCCCAAACCCTGCCCTCCTCAGACTCTACCACAAAATCTCCAGGAATTTCCTAACCTGGAGCTGGTGACCCTAGTCAGGCCTGGTCCCAGGGAGTCTTCCCTCAAAGGCCAAAATAAACCTGGAACCCCAACCCCTCCCTCTGCCTTTTACAGCCTGGAAAACTGTGGCTGCCTAGCAACAGCCACTGACGGCATCTGTTTATTAAAGCTACAGGCACTCCTTTTATCATTTTCAGTTTTTTTTAAAAAAAACTCAATGCATTTTTTTTAGATTTCATATTTTTTCAGGTTTGTAGAAAGATTGGTCTTGCCGATTCACAGCTCCATTCACCAGATTTAAGCATCCAAACATTTGGCCAACTTTGCTATTAGTAAATAAATTATCCTGATCTTGGTTGCCGGTGACTCATCCTGTCCCTCATCCTTAAGGATCTTTTCTAGTTCCTTCATGGCTGTCCTTCCCAGTCTCTATCTCCTTCTGATTTCTTGGTTGCAGTCTCCCTTTTGGTTGATGATGGAGCCAAGGAACAGAAAATCTTTAACGATTTCATCTTCTTCATCCTCATCCTTAGCACTGTGTAATTCCTTAGTAGTCATTACTTTTGTCTTCTTGGTGTTCAGCTGTAATCCTACTTGTTTGTATAGATCAGTTTATGTTTATATAGATCATTTGAAATGAAATTCTCAGTCGTTTCAAGTCCAATTTGCATTGTGAAATCTGCAGTCCTGGACTATGAACTTACTGATGTTTGTGCTTTCACCAATAGGAAATGTGGATTTAGTTTTAGTTTTTGTACATGTGCGACCTGCAGTAGGACAGTGGTTACTGACGCATAATTTTTTTCTGCTACTAATTGTGTATAGGGCATTAACACAATGTCGTTAGCCAGAATTGTGTATTCCTAAATTTCCAGGTTCACAGATCTGGTTTCCAAGCACGCTTACTTATGAATAGGCCTACATATTCAATGGCCTGGATTCTACCACTCGACTGAGCAAAGCCTGCAGCTTTTCCCTGCTGAAGGAACCTTCCTTCAACTTGTGGCTCCTCCTTCAGTACAAGAATCCTTAGCTGGAGGAAGTTCCTGCAGCCTGTGGTAAGATGTAGCTGTGTGTAACATCGTGAATCAGGGCTCTTTTTGTAGAAAACCCCCAGCAGGAACTAATTAGCATAATAGGCCATACCCAACAGCAGGAACTCAGTAGCATATTAGGCCACACCCCTGACAGCACTGCTCATTAACACATTAGGCCACACCCCCATGTTACCAGAAGTGTGGTCATCCAGCCACACCCACCTTTCCCTTCTTATTCTGTTTACCTTGTTTGTTGTCAAAACCCAGGGATTTTTTTTGTAGCAGGAACTCCTTTGCATGTTAGGCCACACACCCCTAATGTAGCCAATCCTAATGAGTTTCTGCTGTTGGGCGTGGCCTATTATGCTAATGAGTTCCTGCTGGGTGTGGCCAACGTGGGAGCCAGCCGGAACACCGTTCCTGTGCGTTCCTGCCCAAAAAGAGCCCTGGATGCAGTGCCAGGCACTTCTGATCCCACTGAAATCAGCTGTGCAGAGAATGGGGCTGTCAGAAGGCTAGGCAAAAATGACAATGCTGTTCTAAGCAGAGTTAAACCCTTCTAAGTCCATTGAAGGAAGGATGTCTGTTAGTTTTTACCTTTAAGCTTAGATGTATATAACCTAGAGCACATCTATATTACAACCTTGCGTCAGTATTATACCACTTAATTGTTCTGGCCGCCTCCAAAGAAGCAT